GCAAGTAGATCAATTTGTTGACTATGGGGGAGGTTCTTTAAAAAGTGAAGGTAGTTATTAAACTCACATCCTTAATTTGGTTCATCAATTCCCAGCGATCTAGCATTTTAGTAAGGGTGCGGTTTGTATACTCTAAATAATTAAAGTAAAACGCACATTCAAATAGTGTCGAGAAATGTAGTTTCAGTACTGGAAATCTTTGTGATAGCTTTAAATTATATTTTCATCTATAATTATAAAATTTCAAGCTTAAAAAGTAGTGTAGGTCGAGCAGATCTATAAAAACTTGAAAATTTTAAAAATTGACGGTAAAAAAATACATTATAAGATGCACTATTTCCAAAACTTGAAATCTATTTTTTTTTTTCATGTCCATGTATCTTGATGTCGAGATGATCAATTTGAGAATATTTGAGCATCAAAATAACCTCTTTTATTGAAATTTTTGAGGTTCTCTCTAATTTGATTGTTTAGAGCCTCAGCTCTATATAAAACCTTTTCCTTTTAGAAATGCATCCATTGTTCATATGTTGGCTATTACTTGCCATGGTTTGTACCATTTTCTTAGTCCTCTTATTTCTTTTTCTTTGCAAACTTTCCATTGTATTACTCCCACCGATGTGGCCATCTCGTAGTTCCATTTAAGGATGATTTGCCGGGTATTTCAAATAAGCGAAAAGATTTTATACTCCCATTGGGGTATACTATCTATCTACTCTCTCGGGTGAAATTTGCACAGGGATATTTTAGATCTCAAATGTTGGGGATGTGAACTTCAGATCCTCGCAGCTAAGCTTGAAGGAAAAAAGAAAAAAAAAGAAGAAGAAGGACTCTCACCCGCCTAAAAAGAATGACGTCCCAAAATTGCAATAGAATCATCCAATATTTGAAGGGAATGAACTAGACATTCAAGAACTCAAAATCCATTTTTTTTTCTATGAAAACAATCATCCATTTATAATTAGATGGATCTCAAATTTTCAAATAAAAAAGAAAAAAAAAAAATACTTCTTCCCTAGGGATTAAACGCATAGTATTCTCATGAGGGAGCATAATATGATCGCTCAAGAAATCTTTTTGTCACCCGCCGTACATGCTCTGCTTCCTCGGCTAAAGAGGGTGAGGTTTGCATAAGGTGCCCACCTTATAATATACAAGTAAGGCGTGTCTCTAAAATATTACCGAAAGATACAGTTCCACTATCGGAAATCTTATGGTATATCCACGTTCATCCTAAATTATGAAATTTAGAATTCAAAAAATAGTGTAGATCGAGCATATCAATAAATATTTAAAAATGTTGAAAATAAGCAGTCGAGATAACTTGTTACAAGATGTATTATTTTTAGTACTTGAAAATTTTTTTTTTTCCTTTTTTTTTGACCAATATCATTAATTTTATTAGAAACTAATCAAAAGAGATTACATGATTAGAAACAAAGAGTGAAGGAAAAGAGATCCCCCCTTTAGCCAGATAGTCAGCCACATTGTTTGCCTCTCTATAAACATGCGAAAAGAACAAAGTACCTATAGCTGCCAAATCCATGACTTGCAACGACACAGACTGTAACTCCCAGGGGGCTTTTTGTTCCAAGCAACCCCATTTGATCACATTTAATGAGTTCTCCTCATTGTGTAGCTAGAATTAAAATCTTTCTCAAAGAAGATCTTCAGTCCATATAATAGAGCACTTAATTATGTAAAATTAGCAGTATTGCTTCCAATTGGTCCGGTAAATGAGAAAACGACATTACTATAGCAATCACGTAGAATCCCACCAATACCAGCCGGCCCTGGGTTACCAAAAGAGCTTTCATCAAAATTTAGCTTGTAAGAGCAATCCACACACTTCTTGCTCTAGATTTGCTAAGACTGAGAAAGAACAAAATGTTCAGATTGGCCATCACATCTACCTTACTAATACCCCAGCCTTCTTTATGCACAGATAACCAAGCCCATATAGTAGATTTACAAACATGGATCAAGAGTTCAAAGGAGCAAACAGTTCCATCAAAAGTTCTTCTATTCCTTCCTTTCCATACTTCCCAAAGAATAGCCCTATCGAAATTTTCCAAATAATACGCCCTGTTTTAGGAAGAAAATGAACTTTAAGTGAGGAAACAATTTCCCCTATGGACCGTGGAAATGGCATGGAAATACCAACCGACCCAAGATGCCAATGCCACAATCTCATAGTGAAGGGACAATGAATCAATAAATGAGTTCCATTCTTGACATCCTCCTTACACAATAAACAAACATTAGGTAGAATTTTCCCTCTCTTGATCAGGTTATCAACTGTGAGAATTTATCTTGTGCCGCCAACCAAATGAAGATCTGCACCTTGTGTAGGATTGGCCATTTCCAAACTTGTACAATATAATTACAAGACCATCTCCATCTTTCATGAAAGAATAAATTATAGCAAGATTTCACAGAGAACACACCATCAATTTCTATTTCCTAAATTAATTCATCTTCACCAGCATTGGAGACATAAACTTTGTCTAATATTTCCATAAGTTGACACCATTGAGCAAGGTGTTCATTACTCAGTCGCCTATAAGCAACATATATATGTCCCAAGAGACACTCATGCCTTTCCTTTCTATTGCTTCACTCACTTTCAAATCAGGTTGGGTAACTAATTTAAAAAGGTCCAGAAAAGCTAATTTTAAAGGATAGTCTCCCAACCACTTATGGTGCCAAAACGAGATTTGCTCCCTATTTCCGACAGTCCATCGAAAATACCCAGAGATCATCGGTCTACAACTTAAAATGGATTTCCACAATGGTGACAAATTCTTCCCTCTTCCACTCCCCAACCACAATTGCGATTTATCCAAACCATACTTTGCATCTAAGATTTGGTACCAGCAGTGGTCCTTCAAATGGATATTGCGCCACCACCACTTGTTTGAAGCACTTGGTTAAAAATTTTAATTTTTTGAATTCCCAAGCCTCCTTCTTTCTTAGGGGTGCACACTCTATCCCATCTCAACAAATGATACTTTCTATTCCCATCAAAGGAACTCCACAAAAAATCCCTCATCATTTTTTTCAATTTTTTTCATACTGAGCTTGGAGTGGAGTTTAAAGACATCTGGTAAACCGGTAAATTAGCCAAACAAGAGCGAAGCAGGGTTACTCTACCCCTTAAAGATAAATATTTTGGCTTCTATAAATCTAGCTTCAACTGTACTCTTTCCAAAATCTTATCCCAAACCGAAATAGATAGTTTGGATCAGAAATAGGAATACCAAGGTAAACAACAAGAAAGAAACCAACTTTGAAACCAATCGTGTCAGCCAAAGCCTCAACTTCTACAAGGTCGCAGTTGATACCAATAATTGAGGATTTGTTAAAATTGACTTTGATACCCAATGTCACCTCACAACATTCCAGGTATCTTGCTATATTCCTCACTTGCAAACTATCAGCATCACAGAAGATTAAAATATCATCAACATATTGCAAGTGAGAAATAACGATTGAGGAATTCACAATCTTAAAATCAGCAAACAAACCAGCTTGTTCAACCTTAGAAATCATCATGCTAAAGCATTCAGCACAGATAGTGAATAAGAATGGGGACAACAGATTTCCTTGACATATTCCTCTAGAGGCCATAAAAAGCCAATAGGGCTTCCCTTATAAAGTACCGAGAAGTGGGCTAAAGATAGGCATCGCCACATCCAACTCAACCATCTATTACCAAACCCCATCCTTTTCATAATTTTCAAAAGAACCCCCCCCCCCCCACTTCACTCTATCACAGGCCTTCTCCATATCTAATTTAAGCATCACCCCTGGCTTTTTCTCCAACACCCTAGAATGAATAGATTTATGTGCTAACAAAACACTATCCATGATTTGCCGTTTTTCAATAAAAGCCGCTTGCGTGCTGGAAATAAGGAGTGAAAGCACCCCTTTCAACCTTTCAACCAAAACTTTTGCAATTATCTTATAAAGGCTAGTGAGAAGGCTAATTGGTCTGACATCCAAAATACCTGATATAACTGATTTCTTTGGAATTAATGCCAGGAAAGTTGCATTTACCCTACAAAACACATGCCATGTGATTATGAAACCCCTTACCATTTCTAGCAGCTCTCCTTTAACCAAATCCCAAAATTAATGGAAAAAGGCTAAAGGGAAACCATTGGGTCCTAGAGCCTTATCACCAAGGATAACAAAAACAGAAACCTTCAACTCTTCTAAAGTCACATATCTTTCCAGAAAGATTTGCATATTACTAGGAAGCATTATAAAAGGAACTTTTTGGAGGTTTGGAGTAAAAGACACTTCTTTAGAGAAGACATTTTTGAAATGGTTGATCAAAGCTGACTTAATAGCTTGATCATCATCAACATCAGTCCTAAGGAAAGTCAATCCAGACAGGTAATTCTACCTTCTCCTAGCATTAGCAATTGCATGAAAGAATTAGATATTTAGATCCCCTTCCTTGAGCCATTTAAATCTCGACCTCTGTCTCCCATAAACTTCTTCAGCTCTTCGTATATCATACAATTCTTTTAGTTTCTCATTCCTCTCCAAAAACAATTGTTCAGTGAAGGAACCATTATCTTGAATCTTCTAATCCAAATATTCTATATCCACTAACACCTTTTTCAAATTCTTTTTGAGTCCACATGATTATCCTTCTTCCAACTAAGCAATTTACGCTAGACAATCAACAGTCTATTTGTGTAGTTGAAAGTCCATAGTACCTTCAATCACACAATTAGTCCACGCTCCCAAACTCGAAAGTTCTATACTAATTTCAATAAAAATTCCAACCTTCTCACTAATGGATCTCGACAAGCAAAGCACTTTCTATTTTAATATTTTATCAGAAACTAATACAATACAAGCATAAAGTTCCACTTGCCCATTACTTATATCATCCTATTCTAAGGATAATTTTTTTTTTTGGGTGAATAAGCAGCCAAAAGTTAAAAGAAAGAATCACAATATCAGTTGACTTTAGCCAGTAAACATTCATCTTGAATAACAGAAGCACCTCTCATAATTACAAATATTGGTTAAAACAAAACAAATAGCAAGAAATCTTAGGGTACAGTATTATAAGTGGCAAGGTGCCACGATCTCCCGTTTAGCACTGATTCACATAAATAAAAAGAAAGAAATAGAATATCAAACTCACCATTTTCCCAGAAACGAATGTTAATGATGTGGTTTTTGGCTCTCGTATTCGCATGATACATGCTGCAAAATGCTGACAAGCACAAGAACATAAAAACTTATGAAAAAGGAAGCACTTCACAACAACTCTTCACAACAACTCAGGTATTAGTAGGCACAGAGCTTTGAGGACCTGAAAAATTAAATCACTGATGGATCACTTTACATACCTTGGAATTGTACTAAGCATTGCTATGGCCTTAAGGTCCAACTTGCAATCCAAATTCAGTACTGCGACAACATTCCTATATTTGAAATTAAAAACCCATCCATTTAGAATATTTATTTTTGGCAAATTTAAGTGCACATTTCAACTCAATAAAGAACCAAGAAGATCACAAGTAGGGGTTAAAATGGATAAAGTACATTGAGTTCCACTCTGAGATATTTGTCCTTTAACTAGGTATTAATTTAATCAACTAAGGATCCAACTTATAGATACTCCCTTATGAAAAAGAAATAAAAGAAAAGAGAAATAAAATTTCCAGCAACCAAATGAATTGGGAAGTATAATAAAAAACGTTTACGATATAATCATACTCACAAACCAACCTAAGTACATTGCATTAACTGTTTATAATTGTTTATTTAGGGATTGTACACTATATGACCGTTTACCTTTGGTACAAGAAGGTCACAACTTGTCTTAGCTATGTGAAATAAGGCAGCTGGGGGTACTTAATTTCTTCACACAAAGCCCAAGAAAATTTTCTCCGACTTTGAGTAATGGCAATGGCACACCTCCGGTCACCTGATTTCGCATTTGACAGTTATAGGCAATTGTGATCTTTTTAGACCAAAGGTAGATGTATTGTATACTTTCCCATTTCTTTATTACCTTTGAGGATACAACATGAATCGTATAGGAACATTAGTTGAAAAGTACATAACTTAAGTCTATTGAAGTATTGGTTACAAGGGAGACTGATAGACTATAAAATGAGTAACTTGGATTAAAACTCTTTTGAAGAACTCTATCAGATTATACAACTATTTCCTGTCGGACTTGGAGTATTCGGACAGGTGTGACTTTAGCTCGGGCCCTTGGGGAGTTGGAGCCCGAGTCTAACTAACAAACATTGCAGCAACCTAATGACAAAAGCGCTGCTAACTAAGCACACGAACACCTTGAGCTAACATAGAGATTAAGAAGCCATTGAGACAACAATGTTCTATCAGATTGGAGTTTAAACAAGAGTAAAGACGTCGAAGGCGGAGATGTACATAATGGTGGGTTCTAAACCAGAAGGACGCCAAGAGAGATCCGCAAGTTGTTCTTCCTCCACAATGTTACAATCCATTGTCATACAAATAAACTTCCAAAATCTCCCTTTTCCAGACCTAAAAAAAAAGAACCAACAAAAAAAGATTAACAAATTGCAAGTTTCAAAGATTTGTCACAAGTATGTTATTCTAACAGGCTTATTCAAACTAACGGAACCACATAGAAAAGAAATTATTCTTTCTCAAATGACTCTAGAAATAATCCCTCATTTCAATGGATAAAACGCATGGAATTGTTTGAAATTAAAAAAAAACCATGGCACTAACACCTTTAAACTCAGGCAAAGCTAAAGCCCATGACAACAACTAAGATACACTCACATAAAGTTAGAAGGGCTGTTTATCAGAACTAACTTTTGAACAACCTAAGATGGTAAATATTGATTAGACTATTTTTTGTTTCCTCATATGACAAGAAACATGCATATCACAAACTAAGAAGAGTCTCCGTTTATCATTTGGCAATCAAGTAAACAGAATATTAAGGTATCAAGGCATTTCCCTTAAGGTCATGAAGACTCTTTTACCATGTCATCTCTGTATTAAGTTCATCTTTGTCCAATCTCTAATACATATAATTTGAACTCACATCCCTATGGTGTAAAACATATCTACTTATAACCGATTCATTAGTTGAGAACTGTTCCTTCAAGAACACTTGATTGAGATGTCCCTTTAATGGGTTCAGTTCAGAACTCCCATACCTATATAATCTCTATGTTCCTGTGGAGAACAATAGTTGTTTTTTCAAAGTTCAGATGGTTGAGAACCAAGAGGCAATTAACCCACAACAATACACCGTAACCAATAATGATATGCACTCTAAAACTTGGCTGGGGCCCTGGACTGAACTTGTGGCCGGAGCCGAGTTACTTGGCCGAGTCCACTTGAACTCAGCTCGCAACTCCAAAAATTGTCTAGTTCTTTCCTACCTAATTCCCATCTCAATCGATGATCTAGATCAGAAATCGCCTAGTTTTAAAACACTAGTATACCTTAATCTGTTTAAAACACTACTCTCTCTCTCTCTCTCTCAAGATAGAAACATGTTGTTCAACATTTAAAAAAAAAAAAGACTTATTCTCTCTAAACAAGCTGCGATATAATAGCATAGAAAGTTATATTGGTAATTTTTTTAAGACTAAATACCCATGTATAAATATTGGAATTTGAGATATTTTCTGTTTCTGAAAATGTAAAAATTGAGATAGTTTCTCCCTTTAAACTTTTTTAGATGGTTTCAGTGTCTAAATTTTTTGAAATAGTTTTTCTGTAAAACTTAAAATTTAATTTAGTTCTCTCTTTAAAATATTTATTAATAATTTCCCTCTCTAAATATTCTTTTCTCTATTAAAAAAATTCAATTTTCAAATTGTTTTTCTCTCTAAAATTTTTGAGAAATCTGTCTCTAAAATTTGAATTTTGAGTTAGTTTTTTTCTCTAAAAATTTTAAGATAGATTCTCTCTAAAAGCTATGAGATAATTCTCCATCTAAAGCTTGAAATTTAGTACAATTTCTCTCTTGAAAATCATCCATATTTAACAAGAACCAACAAAAACATGTACTAAATGAGAAACCAAGAATTGAGGTCAACTTTTTGAAAAAAAAAACTAGAAACCAAGGATTAACAGGTGAAGCGGAGAATTAAGAAGAAAAGATCTTTCTTTGAAAATCCAAATTGAAATGTGAAGAATGCAAATCCTACGGACTTGTAAGTTCTCTAATTTATTTTGCCGAAACCTTTGAAATGTCTCAACTCAAAATAATATCTCAAACTAACAAAATGTGCAAACTCAAACTTCCGATGATCTCAACTCAATCCAACTCGATCTCCTTTTTTCTTCTTCTTTATGGGTAGCAGCTCTACTGCTACCGTTTTTTGTTTTTGTTTTGACAAGCATAAGGTCCTATTCAGTAAGAGATAATAATCAAACCCATAAACATCACTTCTCCAAAAGTCCAAATAAGAAAAGAATAAAAAACCAAACTGCTACACGTCTAAAACGTCGGAAAATATAAATTATATCCCCTCTTCTCATCATTAGCACTTGACCTCCTTCAAGCCGTAAGCAAAATACAAGAATGTGAGATCACTTACACCTTCCTTATAGTATACAAATACCAAGCCAGAATCATCATGAATGCTCTCCCCAACGAAAAATTGAAGGTCCTTTAGTTTTTCGAGTAAATATTTGGTTGGCCCCTTATTTAGAATAAAAGCTTGGAGATTACCTAATGGAAGCTTTGATTGACTGCTGTTGCGGAATTGAAAGCAATAAAAACTGATTTTGGAGTCTTTATTTTTCAGATCTCTCTTTAACCGTAGCACTTGCTTCTTGATAAACTTCTACCTCCCTCTTCAATCGATTAACAAAAAAAGGGCAGGCATCTCTCCCTTCTTCTCTCAGCTACCCACTAAGAATCGAACACCCCAGAATCAGAACCCAAACCAGAGAGCTCTGAGCAAACCCTTGAAAGCAATGTCGTCAATTTAAAAACGAGACTATACGCTAATAATTTTCCATGGACTTGCACTTCAAAAGATATTAAGAACCTCTTTCAACATTGTGGGGCAGTAATAAACATTGAGGTGGGAGAAACTATATCGAAGAAATGAGATATTTGGGAGAAACGAGAGATTTGGGAGGACCTAACACCTAAGATTACCAAAGGTTTTACCAAAGCAATGTTACCAAAGGTTTTTCGCCTAAAAAATTGTTCGACATCAAACACCTGAGGTGAACTGCTGATGCAAAGGTATTAACCGTTGCAAATATTTTTGGAGAAGTATTTGCGAGATCTGCCGATGCAAAGCTTTAGGCAACGGGTACTATCACCGATGGATCACAACTACAACAATTTGTTGCCATAAATAGTAGCGAGCGATGCGTGATGAGATACCTTATAGAGAGAAATTAGGCATACTTTGTAGAGATTTTTTTTTTTTTGAAGAATTTTTGTTTTTGAAGACGGATCAATGCTCTGATACCATGTTAAAATTCGTAGGGGCATACATAGATAGGAATTGAATAGAGAATGTGATACCATGTTAAAATTCATGGGAGCATACATGCATAGACATTGAATGGAGAATAGAGAGAGAAGAAGATAGAACACATCATTTACATGGTTCAGGCCAAAGCCTTACGTCCACGGATCCAAAGCCCAACAGGCTACATCTTTACTATTTTGGATAATGTTTACATCAATTAATACTTCTATATATAGAGGACAATCACATGAGATAAATATGGTATGTAAATAGTAAGAGGCTTTATCACCAAACTAACTTGATGACCTAGTAACTTTGACTTGGTCTCTTCTTATCTTATAGATACCTAATCTTATCAAAGATATATACCCATACATCCATAATGGTGTATATCAATATGAACCCGAGATATCCTTATCCTAACAGCAATGAGGTCTCTTATCTTATAGATACTTAATCTTATCAAAGATATATACCCATACATCCATAATGATGTATATCAATATGAACCCTAGATATCCATATCCTAACAGCCATGAGGTCACAATTGCTATTGCTACTAGCTAATAGATGTCAAATTGAATGACTTGAGATGTGACACAAAGTTTGATAAATTTTTTTTGAACACTGAGTCTAGTCAATGAGACAACCACCGGATTTCAAATCTAACAGACAAAAGTAATTGTAATTTCTTTGTATTAAAAGTAAATGGTCTCTTTGTATACTTTTCCTTTATATATATATAAAAGAGTATCATATTATTTAGATAGAGAGAAAATAATTATATACTTTTGATTTTATTTGCAGTTAACGTAAAAGCAAATATTTTAATTTAAACAATCTAGTAGCCCAAGCGATGCTAGGCAAGGTCAAAGAGGGAGAGTAATTTTGGAATTAAGACATAGAGTAATTTTGTAATTAATATATTTAATAAGGCTTCAAAATTTTCACTCTTGAAATCTCCAATAACAATTTAGAATACTATATTTAAAATAGGGGTATTTCAAGGAAAGACCCGGTTTCTATGCGGCCAAGCCTGCATATTTAAAAATGCTGGCCTATTACTAAATCTATTTTTGAGATGGATGTTTGGACTTAATTTTTAAGGACATGTAATCTCTAAGGACATGTAATCTCTAACATGGAGATCATGAATATAAAAAATAAATAAATTTTACAAACTAGAAATAATAGTTCTAGTAATAAATAATAATTCAACTGTTTTTAGATGGAACACCTACTTGCATCCATCTTTAAGATGGATGCTTTACAATTTTCCTTCTAGGAATAAAAACACATACACAGCCATCTAAACCCACTCTCAAACATAGTACAATCATGATGTGATACCTTAAAATAAAAAGGTAGTTTTCAGCATTGGTGGTTTTTAATAGGAGTACTTTTAGATGTAACATATTTTAGAGGAAAAATCTTAACAAACACCCCTATGAGACTTTGTTTTAGGGGTGCAGTTGGCATACAGATGATCCGTAGGTGTAGAGGTAAGGTGCACCTTCAAATTTTATCATGGTATATAATTTTGATGTAAAATGTTTTTATTTTTATATCTAATTATAAAATTTTAAATTTAAAAAATAGTTAAAATCAAGTAGATAATATGTTGTAAAATGCACTATTTTTTGAACTTAAAATCTTTTTATTTTTCATAGTCATACATCTCGCTGTTGAAATGATCAATCAAAGGGTTTTTCAACATTAAAACTACCTTTTCTGATAGAATTTTGAGAGGCATCCATAGTTCTACATTATAAGGTAGCATCATTGTGTAAACTTTTTCCTTGTTTTAGTAATCTAATAAACTATGCATTCATTAGTTGGAAAAAATAATGAGAAGTTTTCTTTGGACTGTAGTAGAGAAAAGAAACAAACTTTATTCACTTAGTTGGACCTCAGCCACTACCCCTAAGAAGAAAGGGGGATTGGGGTTCTAAATTTTAAGACCAATGTATGAGCCATATTATTATTCTAAACGTTAAGACCAACGTTAATTCTAGTTTGGGTTTTAGAGAGAGATGGAGTTTTGAGAGAGAGAGAGAGACGATGATATAAGAAAGAGATAGAGTTTTAGAGAGACAGATATATAGTCATTTCATAAGTTGTTGAGGTTAATAATACATAGTCAAAATGTTTTAGGGTGTTAGAAGATAGAAAAGATGAAGTTTTTTTGTTTATAAGTAATATTTTCAATTCTTGGGTCTGATGAGCTATAGAAGTTGAAAATAGGGGATAATAGGATATTTTCCCTTAATTAAATGGTGGTGGATGATTGCTATTGATCTACTTTCTATTTCGTCTTGAGTGGTCTTCAATAAATTAGAAGTGGAAAGGAATATGCATTCAACTAGAAGTTACCAAATTGAAATAGATATTCTGATGAAATTGTTTTATATACTTTTATTTTATCATCTTCTATGTTTTAGATTTGAGTTTATTTCGAGTTTCTAGTTTTTTTTAAAGGTATTTGTATATTTTTCTATTGTAGAGAATTAAGGGGTAGAGTTGGAGGTTTAATTCTTTAAAGATGAAGAGCACAGATATAGTATTGATTAAAGTTTCTTAGGGAGAAAATTAGACTTTAGGGTTTTTATTTTAATATGTAACTATTGGACAAAATGAAAAAAAGAGAAGAATAATTTATTTTGGGTCTTGTAAAAAGATCTTTTAGTGTGGACTCTTTTATGGACCTTGAGGAAAGCTATCATCTCTTATCCTTGTGTTTTTATTTTTCTCCTTTTCTCATATATTAATTAGTATTAGAGCCTTGAGATCCATATACCATAATATTATTACGAACATCTATTGATCCGATTATAGTGCATGTGGATCAATTATACCCAATAGATTGCAAAGTGGGGAATAAACATATAGAGAGATGGAAAATAAAAAACTTGATCACCAAGTCTAGCATAGTCACATACACAACATTCTCCAAAGTTGATTTGGTTGTAAGGCAAAGAAAACAAATAATAGAAACCATAAGAGATTTTGGCATAGCAGA